AGCCGGGCGGGGCCGGCGGCCGCTGGTCTGCGCCTGCGTCCATGCCTGCGTGTGCGCGCTGCGGCCCAGGGCTTGTGGCGCCCGCGCCTGCGCGCTAAAGTTAGGTCGCGATGGCCTCCGCGCCTGCGCGCTAGTTTTCTACCCGGGCGGCCCTTGCGCCTGCGCGCTGGTGTTCGGCCCGGCAGCCTCCGTGCTTGCGCACGGGATTTGGACTGTAGGTGTCTGCGCCTGCGCGCTGGTTGCGGCCAGCTGTCCGTGGCCGAGAGCGGTGTCGTCGGCGCCCAGGCAAAGACCCTGGTGGCTCCGCATTGGGTTTCTGAGGCTATAAAGCGCATGGGAGGAGAGTGCCTATTCTTTGTCTCGCTGAACTGCTGATGGATCCGAAACGCCAGAGAGGTGCCGCCTTTGCGTTAGCGGCACAGCTCTCCACGGCTAGGCCACCCCTGGAGAAACCAGTAGTTTTCTGGGTTTCACAGATATCTACAATGACGTTCTGGAGTATCACTGGGCATGGAGAAGGGCCCGGGGCTCCAGCCTCTCATCGCTAGCTGCATACATACTTAACACTTTTGTTTCTTCTTAGAAATGGCCCCAGAGTTGGTCCTGGGTAGCAGTGGGGAGGTACCTGTGTTGGGGAGTCCTGCCTGGCAAGAGGTTCCGCTTGGAAGACGTGCCTTGTCCAAGTGCTGTGCCCAACTAGGAAGGGGACCAGGTGTCCTCTGGTTAGGGCGTGCTGCCCTAGCAGGAGGCACCCCCGGGAAGGGGACAACGGTGGCAGTAGATGATTTGGTTAGGAAGGGTGTCCAGTTGAGGGTGGTTCTGTTTGGAGTGATGCCTGGCTAGGAGCCCCCCCAACTGGGCCACCTCACTGGTAGTTCCTAGGACCCTCCCTGCACGCTCTGGAACCCCTTTACCCCCATCTGCTGGCAGCCCCACTGTGAGGCTTAAACTGCCTTCTAGCCAATGCCTCTGTCCCCTAGACATTAAGAAAGGAGGCAAGTAGGGGAGCTCTGGTGGCCTAGTGGCAAAAAGCTGCACTGCAATCCCAGAGGCCCATGGTTTGAATCCACCAGATGCTCTGCCGGGAAAAGAGGGACAATCTCCTCCTGTACCAGATCTGATTTGACAGTACACAGACACACAAAAATAATAATAAATTTTTTTTAAAAAAAGGCAAGTTATGTAGTAGTTTTTGAAATCGTTGCTCCTGTGTGCTGCATAGTATTCCACTGTGTGAATATACCACAATTTCTCAATCCATTCAGTTGTGGTTGGACATTTGGGCTCTTTCCACATTATTAAAAAAAAAAAAAATACTTATTTTAATGAAAGTTTACAGAGACTTGGGATTTGCAGTCATTCATTGTTGCCCTTTTCTCCCTGCCTATCTTCTCCCCAAAAATCACGCTTCTCATTGAAAAGAAAAACTGTCATTGTTATGCAATCCCTCCCCCCAAGTTCACTACACTATTTAGCCTTCACTCTGGACTTCTATAATGACAAGAAAACCCATTCATATATTCCTTTTAAACAGATCTCTCCCTCATCTGCTTCAATGCAATATACATCATTCTTCCCCTCCTTTTCTGTCTTCTCTCAATCCTAATGTCAGTCCCATTTTACAACAGTGGCCCTATACAATATTTGTCCTTTTGTGACTGAGATATTTCACTCAGCATAATGTCCTCCAGGGTCATCCATTTTGCATATTTCATCAGTTCCTTGTTTTTTAATGTTTCCACATTCTTGAGAAGGTGAATAACACTGCTATGAACACTGGTGTACAAATCTCCATTTGTGTCTCAGTTTTAATTTCCTTGGGGTACATTCCTAGTAGTGGAACAGTTGAATCATATGGAGTTTCTATGTTCAGCTTTTTGAAGAAATACCAAACTGCCTTCCAGAGTGGTTGTGCCATTTTACAATCCCACCAACAGTGTATGAGAGTTCCAATCTTTCCACATCTTCTCCAACATTTATCGTTTCCTGCCCTGCTAAACTTTGCCAGTGTTACTGGGTTGAGATGGTATCTCATTGTAGTTTTGATTTGTACTGCTTAACTTGGGAGAGACTAGAAAGCATTATGGAGTGACCTAACTGTCTCATATGGCCAAATACTGCATAAGATCATTATTGTAAAAATGGAAGGATAACTACTAACTCATGAATGGGGACTCAAGGAAGGATGGATGGGAGCAGAGGGGTGAGGAAGGGTAGGGGCGAAGCCACAGGGCTGAGCAAATTGGTGGGTGGAGGGAGGGGATAAAGAAAATAGGAAAGATCTGCTGGGGACCTGAAAAGATAGGGTACTGATGGTCATAGTTCAATGGTGATTAATTTTATAAAACATAATGCATGGGGATGATTTTATTAAATACAATGTGAATGAAGAATAGTGTGAAACACAATGTATATTAACTTTGTAAGCAAACCAATATAAAAGAAAAAGAAAGGAAGAGAAAAAGAAAGGAAGCAAGACTGATACTGGGTTCTCCAGCCAATTGCTGTAAGGACGCGAAAGCTGGACACTACAGTGACAAGAAATCAAGGAGGCCCCAAAATCCTGCACTTCAGGAAAGAGATGAACTGGTGGGAACTTGTTCTGCCAAGTCTGGCTGGTAAGACACAAGTACAGAGAAAGAAGTAGACAACTTTGGTGGGGTTCACTTGAGCAGCTAGACTGCCCTATCCAAACCTCAGCCAATGGCCCCCAAATTCTAGTGCCAGGCAGTGAGTCCACAGCCCTGGGTGGCCCATAGCCCATCCGGCACAGCCTGACCCACCTTCCTCTCTGGCACCATTCTCACCCCCTCTGTCCTTGGACCCCTGACTTTTTACTGGAACATTTTATCTCCACTGTCTGCTTGATTTATTTCTTAAGTGTCACTTTTGGAAAGCTTTCCCCTGCCTCCCAGTTTAACCCACAACTCCCTATGGCTCTTCCTTTGCTCCCTTTTTCTTATTTTGGCAGCTAACCCTATGATGCCCTTGTCCATTTGGCAAGCTTCTCCCCACCAGAAGGAAACCCACAGGTCAGGGATTTTTATTTTGTCTTACCAATGCCTATAACTGTACCTGGTACATTGGAGGCCAAATAGTATTGTTCAATGTGGCAGGAAACCCTTTAGAAAGCAATTATTGATTATGAATTAACTTGGAACAAAGCTGCTGCTCAGTTAGCCTGTAACCTGCCCCCACAGGGTCACCTACCACGTGTGATATTATCAGCACATGACCCAGGACACTTCAAACAAGCTTCTTACTAGCACAGCCCAATGACTTTGAAAGGCCCACAGCTTGCAAGACTGGTGCAGGCACACAGCCACAGAACTCCCCTGCCAACCTTAGGCAGTGCAGCCTAGCAGGTGGCCTAGAATGTCCTACCTTTGTGTGCCTTCAGCTTTTCTCCAAGACTCATCATCTTTTTCGACATTAAAGCTCTGGCTGGCAACTGATCGACCAAAGGCCTTATTCTCAAGCCCACATGTCAGGGGTCTAACAGGGTCTGTGTAAAATAATGTGATTCACTTCCCAGGCTTGTCCACTGGGAGCTGGGGTGCCAGCCAGGCAGGCGAGGATCCCTGGACACCTGATTTGGCCTCTGGGAGCTGGGGTGCCAACCTGGCAGGTGACGCGCCTGAAGACCAAAGCAGGCACCAAGCTCAAAGACGAAGCCTGGATTGCTGGACAGCATCTGTGCCACACGGTCAGATCTGCGGTTCTCACAGAGTACATAGTTTCTATTTGGGGGAAGAGGAGGCTTGACGTGTCCGCCCAGTGGTCCCGTGGGGTTGTACTGGATGAAGTACACCCCTTTCCTCAAAGCAGAGCTGGAATTTGAATCCGAAGTATCTTCCCAAACCAGATATTTGGCTCTTCAGGGGCCACTCCCAGCTAGACCACCTGCAGGGCCCCTGTGGTACACAGGCCCTCTGTGATAGGATGCCCTCTTTCTGTCATCTTGGATTCTGTGAGCCAGTTCTTTGAAATGTAGGGTCTTCTGAGAAGGCTGTATTCACACCAATGCAGGGACATTCTCCTGGGAGAGGAGACCTAGGGAAGAACTTTTCTCTGTCTTCAAAGATTGACACTGAGCTGTCTAGAAAAGTGAAACCAGGTGGCAGATTTGTGTATAAATTAATGAATGGGTTGATGGTCTCTTCCCAAGACACAAAAACAATTAAATTAGAGCCAGGGCTGCAGATGCATCTCTAGGTACTGTGGAGATTGGAGGAAACCAGAGGCCACTGCTGTCCTGGGACTAGCACATCCCAGGAGGAGTCCCAGAAGAGTGGGAGGGGCCATGGAGTGGAATGCATGTGAGGAGGAGGGATGGGTATGTATGGATGGAGAGGGACACAGCAGAGGATGAGGTGCTCAGGGGCCCTCCTTGGGGAGGGAAAGAGGAGGGCGCTTGCCCAGCATAAAGGCCTCCATGCAGCTCTACAAATAAAGCTCTTTATTTACATGGGCTTTCAAGGCATGCTCTCTGCTCACTGGCCAATGTAGAGGCCATTTGAAGCGGCTCCCTGCAGAGGACCAAGAGGCACAGCTGGCAGCCTAGGGTCCTAAGTGGACCAGCCAGGCCAGGTAGAAGGCACAAGGACTTGGACCCACCCATGGTCCGGAAAGGCAGCAAAAGGATGGTCAGCTCCGGGGGCTCTGGCCAGGGTCCGGACGTCCACAGCTCTGCTCGTAGGATGGCGGGGCCTCTGAGGGAATAGTGTGTGGTCACCACACAGCTCAGTGGGTAAGCCTACCCAGAGCATGCCCAATCCCCCACTCACCATTGGGGTAGCCCCATGCACAGTACTCTGGCGGGAGGATCAGGGTACCAGTGGCAGCTACTGACCCCTCAGGCCCATCCATGAAATAAGGGACCATGGCCCCTGTGGAGATGCACAGGGGAGGGGGCAGAGGGTGGGGCGTGGGACTGCAGGGTTCAAGGGCACCAGGCACAAAGCTGAACCGGGCAGAAGGTGATGGCTGCAAGTAGTCCTCGGTGGACAGGTCAACTCTGGGGTCCACCAAGGAGGTGGGGCTGGCCATCTCCACTTCCTCCTGTGGTGGTGCCGAGGGCACCACCTGGGAAGGCAGAGACCCAGGGCCTGGCAAGGCATTCAGCGGGGTGTGGTTCACAGCAATATTGCCAATAAAGACTGGGAGGGTCACGGTGGCCTCAGGAGACTTCAGTGAGACCTAGGAGAGGAGGGACAATGAGCAGTGAGGGCCTGGAGCCCATAGTGTGCCTCCACCAGGCCTCAGCCCTGTCCACCCTGGAGCACCTGTAGGTCATAGCCACCACCCCCGGAGCACCTGTAGGTCATAGTTCCACACCTGGAGCACCTGTAGGTAGTAGCCCCTACCCCTGGAGCACCTGTAGGTCATAGTCCCACCCCTGGAGCACCTGTAGGTAGTAGACCCACCCGTGGAGCACCTGTAGGTCATAGCCCCCACCCCTGGAGCACCTGTAGGTCATAGCCCCCACCCCTGGAGCACCTGTAGGTCATAGCCCCCACCCCTG